TCAGAAGTGGAATGAGTGCAATTAAATCCATAAATTCATGATGATATTAATGTTTTAAATATAACATTTTGAATATAGAAATATTAAATGATTTAAATAACTGAAAAGATACTTTTAAAATGAAACAAAATCAGTCACTGATTTTTATCACTGAATCATTCATTCAATTGATTCATTCAAACAGCTGAATCATTCAGGAATGAATCAAGTGACTGTCTTTATGAATGGGTAATCATGAATCACTGACTAAACTAGATTCATTAAAAAAAAAAAACGTTCATTCATAAACGAGACACCGCTGTGTTTGAAAGGAGATGCGCAGCAGCTCCGTTGTGTCTTTGTTTTAAACTATTTTCGACGACGAAATAGAGCAAAATCAGACATTAGTGTTATAGTCAGACAATGTAAGTCACTTAATATTAACTTCTTGTTTATTGAATTGTATTGTATTAAATGAGTATCACATTTATAAACTCCTTTAAAAATCATTAAAAGCTGGCACTTATCTTAGTTCATCTCGATCTCACATCTATAATCAACAAAGCTCTCTACACTGCACAATGAATCTCTCACTTTGCTTATGAAAGGATTCGTGAGATATGTCTGTGATACATTACTCAACGCTGCAAAAACACGTAGATGCATTTGAAGCTCCCCTGAATGCAATCACAAGTATGATGATGATCGGGTCGCAAATGCGACTGAAATGGCCGCACTCTAGAGCCCTGGAAGGTGGTGTTGACATCGGGAATGCACCTGAATCCGCCATTTTAAGCAATGAATGAATGACGGACTCTCAGTTGTAACAACGTGCAAGGCAAATAAGGGGGTGACAAAGTGGATTAGACTAGTAATAAGATTCACGTAAATCTTATGTTCAATGTTTGTGGAAATAAATATTGAAAAAAATCGATTCATGGCCTTCGAGAATCGATATTGAATCGACCACATTTTAAAAAACGATATATCGAAAAATCTTCTTTTTTTTTTGCCCAGCCCTACTCCTGACGCAAAAAAAATTCAAGCAGCTGGGCTTTGTTTGATTGCTTGTGACCATCCATCTTCCTCTTGATCACATTCCAGAGGTTTTCAGTGGGGTTCAGGTCTGGAGATTGGGCTGGCCATGACAGGGCCTTGCTCTGGTGGTCCTCCATCTACACCTTGATTGACCTGGCTGTGTGCCATGGAGCATTGTGCTGCTGGAAAAAAACAATCCTCAGAGTTGGGGAACATTGTCAGAGCAGAAGGATTTGTCCAGGTTTCCGTCTAACCATTGGACAACCAGATATAGGGCAAAGCTGAAAAAATTTACTCATCAGAGAAGATGGCCTTACTCCAGTCCTCCATGCTCAAATCCTTATGGTCTTTTGCAAACCTCAGCCTGTCTCTTCTCTGCTTCTCATTGATGAAGGGCTTTTTTCTAGCTTTGTCCTGCTCCTAATTTTCAATTCAACTCTTTTGGCATGGTCACTAGTTAGTTATTGTTTGATTCCAATTACTTTTGAGCTACTACTAGCACTGTCTTTGCCATCCAGCTGGTCCTATTGCAAGAGGATAGTGATGACCGCAGCAGTGGTTTTTAATACTTTTCCTCGTAAAATACGATTTGATATACATATATACAGTGGGGAAAAAAAGTATTTAGTCAGCCACCAATTGTGCAAGTTCTCCCACTTAAAAAGATGAGAGAGGCCTGTAATTTTCATCATAGGTATACCTCAACTATGAGAGACCAAATGAGAAAAAAAAATCCAGAAAATCACATTGTAGGATTTTTAAAGAATTTATTTGCAAATTATGGTGGAAAATAAGTATTTGGTCAATAACAAAATTTAATCTCAATACTTTGTTATATACCCTTTGTTGGCAATGACAGAGGTCAAACGTTTTCTGTAAGTCTTCACAAGGTTTTCACACACTGTTGCTGGTATTTTGGCCCATTCCTCCATGCAGATCTCCTCTAGAGCAGTAATGTTTTGGGGCTGTCGCTGGGCAACACGGATTTTCAACTCCCTCCATCCTACAATGTGATTTTCTGGATTTTTTTTCTCATTTTGTCTCTCATAGTTGAGGTATACCTATGATGAAAATTACAGGCCTCTCTCATCTTTTTAAGTGGGAGAACTTGCACAATTGGTGGCTGACTAAATACTTTTTTGCCCCACTGTATATATATATATTAGGGCTGTGCAATATATCGAAATATCGCAAATGTACATAGGCTTTCAGCTGTTCAGAGCGGATCGCGACGCAGAATCAACAGGGAAATCACGCGGCGGCGGGACATGCTTTTACATCAATGAGAGGTGGTGTACAGATGTAACTGTGTTAAAGAAGATGTGCTGTCCAGATCTAGAAGTGCTTTTCATTAACTGTAAGCCGTTCTATTTAACCCAGGGGAGTTTTGCTCATTAATTCTCATCAGTGTCTACATTCCGAGTTTTTTCCCTCAGGCAATCCATCTCATGAACACCTGACAATAACTGTGGAACACACACTATTTATTCACTCATACACTTATTTAAGACAAAGAGAAAATCACTCACTGCTCTTACCTAATTAAAATTTGTAGCTTAAATAAGAAGCAGTGCATATTGAACTCAAAGAGTAAATACTACGCAGTGTTTTATTTTTCCTTTTTATTATTCAGTTCCTAAACTCATGTTAAAATGACATTTTTACGTAATGCTTGAGTAAAACACTATCATTCACTTTCAGAAGTTGCTGTAGGGGTGCTTTCTTATTAGAATCAGAATTAGCTTTATTCACCACTTAAGTGTGCGCAAACACAAGGAATCTGTTGTGGTTTTACAGGAACTCTTGGTACATACATACATACATACATACAAATAACCATATATATATGACACAAGATAGTTATAGAAGTTCACAGAACTGACTCTGAAACTGACTTCACTGAAAAAACTGTTTCATCTGAGCATGTGGCACTTTAAGCATTATCGTATCGCATATCGAATATCGCATTATTTAATGAG